GAAACAAAGCTGAAGGGGGTAGGGGAGTTTCAGTGGGGGGAAATAAATGGGATTAAATCTGGAGTACTGAGAGAGTTAGAGCAAAGGAAGGGGTAGCAGTAATGTTGAATGATCAGTTATGGAAGGAGAAAAGAGAATATGAATGTGTAAATTCAAGAATTATGTGGATTAAAGTAAAAAGGGTTGGATGCGAGAAGTGGGTCATAATAAGCGTGTATGCACCTGGAGAAGAGAGGAATGCAGAGAGAGAGAGAGAGATTTTGGGAGATGTTAAGTGAATGTATAGGAGCCTTTGAACCAAGTGAGAGAGTAATTGTGGTAGGGATCTGAATGCTAAAGTAGGAGAAACTTTTAGAGAGGGTGTGGTAGGTAAGTTTGGGGTGCCAGGTGTAAATGATAATGGGAGCCCTTTGATTGAACTTTGTATAGAAAGGGATTTAGTTATAGGTAATACATATTTTAAGAAAAAGAGGATAAATAAGTATACAAGATATGATGTAGGGCGAAATGACAGTAGTTTGTTGGATTATGTATTGGTAGATAAAAGACTGTTGAGTAGACTTCAGGATGTACATGTTTATAGAGGGGCCACAGATATATCAGATCACTTTCTAGTTGTAGCTACACTGAGAGTAAAAGGTAGATGGGATACAAGGAGAATAGAAGTATCAGGGAAGAGAGAGGTGAAGGTTTATAAACTAAAAGAGGAGGCAGTTAGGGTAAGATATAAACAGCTATTGGAGGATAGATGGGCTAATGAGAGCATAGGCAATGGGGTCGAAGAGGTATGGGGTAGGTTTTAAAAATGTAGTGTTAGAGTGTTCAGCAGAAGTTTGTGGTTACAGGAAAGTGGGTGCGGGAGGGAAGAGGAGCGATTGGTGGAATGATGATGTAAAGAGAGTAGTAAGGGGAAAAAAGTTAGCATATGAGAAGTTTTTACAAAGTAGAAGTGATGCAAGGAGGGAAGAGTATATGGAGAAAAAAGAGAGAGGTTAAGAGAGTGGTGAAGCAATGTAAAAAGAGAGCAAATGAGAGAGTGGGTGAGATGTTATCAACAAATTTTGTTGAAAATAAGAAAAAGTTTTGGAGTGAGATTAACAGTTAAGAAAGCCTAGAGAACAAATGGATTTGTCAGTTAAAAATAGGAAGAGAGTTATTAAATGGAGAGTTAGAGGTATTGGGAAGATGGAGGGAATATTTTGAGGAATTGTTAAATGTTGATGAAGATAGGGAAGCTGTGATTTCGTGTATAGGACAAGGAGGAATAACATCTTGTAGGAGTGAGGAAGAGCCAGTAGTGAGTGTGGGGGAAGTTCGTGAGGCAGTAGGTAAAATGAAAGGGGTAAGGCAGCCGGGATTGATGGGATAAAGATAGAAATGTTAAAAGCAGGTGGGATATAGTTTTGGAGTGGTTGGTGCAATTATTTAATAAATGTATGGAAGAGGGTGAGGTACCTAGGGATTGGCAGAGAGCATGCATAGTTCCTTTGTATAAAGGCAAAGGGGATAAAAGAGAGTGCAAAAAATTATAGGGGATAAGTCTGCTGAGTATACCTGGTAAAGTGTATGGTAGAGTTATTATTGAAAGAATTAAAAGTAAGACGGAGAATAGGATAGCAGATGAACAAGGAGGCTTTAGGAAAGGTAGGGGGTGTGTGGACCAGGTGTTTACAGTGAAACATATAAGTGAACAGTATTTAGATAAGGCTAAAGAGGTCTTTGTGGCATTTATGGATTTGGAAAAGGCGTATGACAGGGTGGATAGGGGGGCAATGTGGCAGATGTTGCAAGTGTATGGTGTAGGAGGTAGGTTACTGAAAGCAGTGAAGAGTTTTTACGAGGATAGTGAGGCTCAAGTTAGAGTATGTAGGAAAGAGGGAAATTTTTTCCCAGTAAAAGTAGGCCTTAGACAAGGATGTGTGATGTCACCGTGGTTGTTTAATATATTTATAGATGGGGTTGTAAGAGAAGTAAATGCGAGGGTCTTGGCAAGAGGTGTGGAGTTAAAAGATAAAGAATCACACACAAAGTGGGAGTTGTCACAGCTGCTCTTTGCTGATGACACTGTGCTCTTGGGAGATTCTGAAGAGAAGTTGCAGAGATTGGTGGATGAATTTGGTAGGGTGTGCAAAAGAAAGAAAATTAAAGGTGAATACAGGAAAGAGTAAGGTTATGAGGATAACAAAAAAAAATTAGGTGATGAAAGATTGAATATCAGATTGGAGGGAGAGAGTATGGAGGAGGTGAATGTATTCAGATATTTGGGAGTGGACGTGTCAGCGGATGGGTCTATGAAAGATGAGGTGAATCATACAATTGATGAGGGGAAAAGAGTGAGTGGTGCACTTAGGAGTCTGTGGAGACAAAGAACTTTGTCCTTGGAGGCAAAGAGGGGAATGTATGAGAGTATAGTTTTACCAACGCTCTTATATGGGTGTGAAGCATGGGTGATGAATGTTGCAGCGAGGAGAAGGCTGGAGGCAGTGGAGATGTCATGTCTGAGGGCAATGTGTGGTGTGAATATAATGCAGAGAATTCGTAGTTTGGAAGTTAGGAGGAGGTGCGGGATTACCAAAACTGTTGTCCAGAGGGCTGAGGAAGGGTTGTTGAGGTGATTCGGATATGTAGAGAGAATGGAGCGAAACAGAATGACTTCAAGAGTGTATCAGTCTGTAGTGGAAGGAAGGCGGAGTAGGGGTCGGCCTAGGAAAGGTTGGAGAGAGGGGGTAAAGGAGGTTTTGTGTGCAAGGGGCTTAGACTTCCAGCAGGCATGCGTGAGCGTGTTTGATAGGAGTGAATGGAGACAAATGGTTTTTAATACTTGACGTGCTGTTGGAGTGTGAGCAAAGTAACATTTATGAAGGGGTTCAGGGAAACCGGCAGGCCGGACTTGAGTCCTGGAGATGGGAAGTACAGTGCCTGCACTCTGAAGGAGGGGTGTTAATGTTGCAGTTTAAAAACTGTAGTGTAAAGCACCCTTCTGGCAAGACAGTGATGGAGTGAATGATGGTGAAAGTTTTTCTTTTTCGGGCCACCCTGCCTTGGTGGGAATCGGCCAGTGTGATAATAAATAAAAAAATAAAAAAAATAAATAAAAATTTCCTTGCATCCTTTTAAAATCGTTTATGTGGTTATCTTGTTTCTCTTTTATTACTATGAACTAACAAGAGGATTTTCAGTGTTTTAGTCTTCACTGTTTATACCTCTTAGTTCTGGAAAATTTGTAGCATTTATTCAGATTTCTATTATCTACAATTTTTTTTCTTTGGTGCTGAAACCACATTGCTGCTGCAAATGCCAGCCATGGTCAAACTTAAAGTGTGAACATTTATTTTTTTAAGCATTCCTTTACCCATATATGGTATCTGAAATTTATTTTGAAATTTTTAAATACAGTACTATATAACTCTGTAAAGTATATATTTGAAATCACGAGTTTCTCACTAAAGTCGAGCACCATCATTCTGAACATATCAGAACTTGGAATGGTTTAGAATAAAACAATTTCCAGAATGTACATATAGGGAAGTCCATGACAGTTATCAACACACATTAGAAATGGTATATGATAAAGCTCATGGAACAGGGAGAGTGACCTAGTAGCATCCAATGAAGAGGCAGGGCCAGGAGCTGTGACTTGACCCCTGCAACCTCAATTAACTGGGTACAATTGAGTAAGTACTCAGTGACAAGTAAAGCACAGTGGAACCTCGGTATACGACCAGCTCCCTACTCAAACAAAGCTCAGCACTCGGCCAAACAAATACGACCTACCAGAACTTTGTTTCGTGTTTCTTCGCATTTTTTGGTGTGTTTTTGTATTATCTGTATAAATAAATCACCATGGGGCCTATGACGATTAGTGATAACAGCCAACCAAACAAAAAAGTGGTTGGGAAGAACTTGTTCAATACTCAAATGGAGCGGGACTCAAACAGCCTTCTGGAATGAATTGAGGTCGTATACAGAGGTTCCACTGTATGTGTACTTTTACATCCAGTATACTAAATATACATTTAAACAGTAAAATACACCTACCATCCGACTTACGACCTGCTCGACTTACAACCACTCGACTTACGACCGTGTTTTTTATGCCAAATTTCTGGGAAATAAACAATTATTTGTGTTGTACACAGTGTTTATCCTAAACCTTACAGTATAAAATACAGTACTAACAGCATAAAAAGTAAAGTAAAACATGAAATACCAAAATAAAACAATAAAATAAAGTCATTACAAAAATGTTTTGTTGACATTCAGTAGTAAAGTTCGACTTACGACCATTTCGACTTACGGCTGGTTTCTCGGAACCAAACTTGGTCGTAAGTTGGATGGTAGGTGTATACCATACATTATACAACAACTGGGATAGGAGGATTGGGAAACAATTATCTATTTGTAGCAACAAGAGCAGAGCCGTGCTCTTGGTGTCTGCCTCTCAGTATTTAATCTATCACATAATTTGTTTTAAATATAAACTGGTTTTAGCAGCCTTTATCTTTCACTTTTTTTTTATCTTGAAGGCAGATATCAACTATCCCCAGAAAAATGTTATAAAAGGGAGCTGCCATTTTCAAATCTAAAATGAGACCTGAGTATTTAAATAAGTTAAGCGAGGGGCTTGGATTTCCAGTTAGTATGCATGAGTGTGTTAGATAGGAGTGAATGTAGACAAATGGTTTTTAGGACTTGACGTGCTGTTGGAGTGTGAGCAAAGTAATGTTTATGAAGGGATTCTGGGAAACCAGCAGGCTAGACTTGAGTCCTGGAGATGGGAAGAACAGTGCCTGCACTCTGAAGGAAGGGTGTTAATGTTGCAGTTTTATAACTGTAGTGTAGGTATACCTCTGGCAAGACAGTGATGGAGTGAATGATGGTGAAAGTTTTTCTTTTATGGGTCACCCTACCATGGTGGGAGACAGGCAATGTGTTAATAAAATAAACTAAACAAACAGGAAGGAAAACACTGAAGTATCATAAAAATCAATGTGACTTACAAGCAACTTCATCTAGAGCTGTAATGATGATCATGGAGGCATTCTCTTCTACCAGATCTTCTCGCAGTTGTTTCACTTTCTCTGTAAGACTTTGTCCAGTGTACTTTATCTAGAAATAAAAAGCAAATAGGTGTTGAAGTAGTTTCACAGATCACAAAGAAGTGTAAGGCAAGAAAAAAATTTTATGTACCAGTAAGTTTATTTATAAAACAGTAAATTATTCTGAGGTTGAATTATGGGATGCTAGTACAAAAGATTCTGTGAACATTATGTGAATCCCCAAGAATATTCTTTACTAACTTCAAGTCAGATAACATACAGTTGTTGTTAGAAATCAGCCGTTTCCCACAAAGGTAGGGTGGTGACACAAAGAAACACATTCTTCACTATTCATTTGCTAGCTACCTTGCCAAAATTTCACTGATATCACACCTTAAATGACTTCAAAAACACCAACATTTCACCTGTAGTATGAAGTAATTGTATTTCTCACCTTCAAAACTCAAGTCCAGCTAACCAGTTTCCCTAAATCCCCTCATAGATTTTACCTTGCTCACACTCCAACAGCACATCAGAGCCAAAAATCCATTCAACTCCACTTAATCTGATCTACACTAATCAAACATACTTGCTGAATGCAGTAGTTCCTACAACTTGAATAAACAACCCCTCCTCTGCTCGATGAATTATATTGATAATACCACCATACTGTCTACTAATTTCTTCCTAATTCAGTTAAACTCAAACATAATTTCTCTACTACCTCCAGAAATCTTACTGCAGCCTTTAAAGACCATGCCTCACACCCAAATACAAGTGCTGGTACTACTAAGGAAAGATCCCCTTTTTGCCACCAATGACAAACTCCTTTCTTTTTCAACACTCCACTCTAACAGTGACAGTGAGAATGATGGTGAAAGTGTTTCTTCTTTTTGTGTCACCCTGCCTTGGTGGGAGATAGCTGGTGAATTAAAAAAAAAATTACTTTCTTCTCTTTGTCAAATCAAATTATCTAAGAACTGTTCTTCGGCTTCTTCCAAACTTCATCCCTTCAATCTCATGTCCTATCTTTCACTGCCTAAATTTCCTCTTACCCCTCATCATCAAGCATTTTTCTATATTTACTTTCAGCTTCCTTCCTTTGCAAACCCTCTCAAACTCCTCTACCAACCTTCACAGCTTCTTTTCTGAATTTCACCATGGCACTGTTTCAACAGCAGAGAACAATTCTGATAGTTCATATTTCATACGTGATTCACTATGGTATCTTTATAGCCACACTTCTTCCCAACACTAGCATTCATTTCTTTTACAAAACCATCTGTAAATATATTAAACAGCCATGATGATATTATACAACCTTAAGACCTACTTTTACTGGAATTATGATGTTCATTGAAAGCACTAAACCTGTAAGGTTCATACAGCACTACACTGTTGAGGAAAAAAAAAAGACAGAGAGGAGGGAAAGAGATAATGATATGGGAAATTTTTTGGCTGAAAGAAATCAGTGTCAGTCAGGACAGCAAAGAGTGTCAGGAGTAATGGTGGGGCAGCAAGAGGAGGGTGGTTAGAGTAAACATGTCAGTATGTGGAGGTGTGTGAAATGCAGTTGGATTGTTTGCTGATAAACAGAGAAATCAATCAAAACACACTGGATAGGTAGGGTAATCCAACAATCCTCACAGCGATGGGCAGTGCAGCCATGTGACAGGATCCTAAACAGAAATGAAATTCATGATGATGAATGACATCTAGCTCAGAAAGAGTAGCAACTGAAGCACAGGAAAATACCTGACCCTAATACTTCAATTTGAAAAAGACCACCTATTCCATACATTTGCAGCACCTACCACATTTCTTGCCTATCCACTCTTAGATAAGTGTAAGTACAGCAAAGCACATCTTACACTTATCTAAGTATTGCTCGCTTACATACCTTAATATAAACAAATGCTCAACAAATCCCCTTTTGATCCTAAATCTTCCTTGTTCCTCTGCATTCTAATTAAATTTTTGTTATTATAGTTGTGTCCTATACTTTACCCTGTATTATTCAACAAACTTATTCGTCTATAATTCATTCATCAATATGCCTAGGTTAACAGTACACTGCTGAGTGGACCACATGTACACAGTATCCTCCAGATACTGGTCTTTGGCTGACTTTATTGTCTTCTTTGTGCACTTACTTGAAGCTACAGCATTATGAGCTGCCAAGAATTACACAATCTGATCTTTCTGCTTCTTTATACAAAAAAAAATGTGCTCTGGCCTATCACAAACTCACTTAGTCCTTAAGAGGAAAAAGCCTATATGATACTGCATGTATTTCTTCAAGTACTACTCTAATCTGATAAATGTTGATATTCACAAAAAATATTCACACAAAAAAAAAATAAGGATTTTTTTTTTCAACATGCCAGCTGTCTCCCACTGAGGCAGGGTGACCCTTAAAAGAAGAAAACTATAATTTTTTCTTCTTTTTACATTTAGTAATTTATACAGGAGAAGGGGTATTTTTCTATCAAACCATATACGTACATGTATGTAGAGTATAACAAAATCAACACAAAATTCCAATCCATTTAATAAACTTTTGATAATTCAAATACAGTGGACCCTAGGTTTTTGTTACCCTCTGATTTTGTCATTTTCGGTTGTCACCAACTTGTTTCGTTGAAATATCGTCTCTGTTTTCGTTAATCCCCTCGGATTTCATTGGTGGTATGGAACATGTCCGAGTGCCGCGAGCACACAAAGCCTCCCACACACGCACTCTGAGTCAGTGTGGCATTGTTTCTTGGTGAGTGAACATTACCCTACGAGTCATATGAAACATTTTGTAATAATCCATTGTTTTTACACTTGTTTATTGTGTGGGACTGCTAAATAAGCCACCATAGGCCCAAAGAAAGCTCCTAGTGCCAGCCCTTTGGTAAAGAAGGTAAGAAACACGATAGAATTCAAGAAAGAACTCGTAGCAAAGTACCACAGTGGAGGAGGAAGAAAGAGGGGAGAATGTGCCTTCTTCAGTGATTCAGTGATTCTACGATATGTACAATACTAAAGCAGCAGGAGTCAATAAAGGCTATAGTGCCAGCCAGCGATAAAGCGTAGCATTAACAGTGTAGCAAGTAAGTTAAGCGATTAAGTGATAGAAAAATGACGGCATGAAACTAACTCCTCCAATGTTGTTAGAGGTATATAGGGCCACTGACAACATATGCCGCCCTCTGCCAGCATCTCCTCCAAGGCAAGTGTAAATTCTTTGTTATTTATAGTGTAAATATTTCTTATTTATAAGGTGTAAATATTTCTTATTTATAAAGTGTAAATTCTAGGTAGTAGGTTGGTAGACAGCAACCACCCAGGGAGGTACTACCATCCTGCCAAGCGAGTGTAAAACGAAAGACTGTAAATTGTTTTACATGATGGTAGGATTGCTGGTGTCCATTTTTCTGTCTCATAAACATGCAAGGTTTCAGGTACGTCTTGCTACTTCTACTTACACTTACGTCACACTACACATACATGTACAAGCATATATATACACACCCCTCTGAGTTTTCTTCTATTTTCTTACTAGTTCTTGTTCTAGTGTATTTTCTCTTACCTCCATGGGGAAGTGGAACAGAATTCTTCCTCCGTAAGCCATGCGTGTTGTAGGAGGCGACTAAAATGCCGGGAGCAAGGGGCTAGTAACCTCTTCTCCTGTATATATTACTAAATGTAAAAGGAGAAACTTTCATTTTTCCTTTTGGGATGCCCCGCCTCGGTGGGATACGGCCGGTGTGTTGAAAGAAAGTGTAAATATTTGCTATTTATAAGGTGTAAATATTTCTTATTTATACATTAAAGTGTAAATATTTCCTATTTATAAATTACGTACATTGTTTCAGTGTGACTAGTGGTAGTGGCTGCTGCCACTGCCACCACCACCACTATATGGCTTATGCTGTCAGTGGCCCTTATAAACCCAACAACACCACTACTACCACCACCACTCATCACATACATAATGACATATTTTATTCATTCTAGAGTATATATAATGTTTCTATATTATTAATATTGTTTATGTCATATTAGATGAATTGTGATAGATAAATAAACTGTAGAGTTGATATTAGTGTCATATTGAAGCATTTTTTCCTGTCTCCAAACAATAAACTCACCTCCCTCTCCCCTCCTCTCTGTCTTCCATACACCAAGAAGAGTCTTCAATAGAGGTAAGTGTGATGCTAAATGTTCATTTATCCATTTTATTAGTGCTTTATATTTATTTGTCATTCTTTTCTGTATGTAAATCTATATTTAATCTCCAAAAATGTATTTTTTGTTAATACTTTTGGGTGTCTGGAACGGATTAATTGGATTTACATTATTTCTTATGGGAAATATTATTTCGGTTTTTGTCATTTTCAGATTTTGTCACTCTCTGGAACGGATTAATCACGAAAACTGAGGGTCCACTGTGCACCTCTTCTTCATGATGAATAAAGGAACAATAAATGTACTTCTGAGGACTCAAGAGTAAGGAGGATGCCTGACTGAGTAAAAGGATGCAACAGTCAATGAGACATGAACTAAAACATTTAGAGAGAAAATAAGCATCTAAAGAATAACCACGTAGAGTATCTGATACAAAAATGTTGCTTAAACATAGTGCATTAATTAAAGTTTGATTATTTAACTGTACTTATAGTAATGGTACTTATTTTTTCATTAAAGTTTGATTATTTAACTGTACTTATAGTAATGGTACTTATTTTTTCCTAACAAAATTTTTTTTTTTTCAACAAGTCGGCCATCTCCCACCAAGGCAGGGTGACCCGAAAAGAAAGAAAATCCCCAAAAAGAAAATACTTTCATCATTCAACACTCTCACCTCACTCACACATAATCACTGTTTTTGCAGAGGTGCCCAGAATACAACAGTTTAGAAGTATATACAGTAGGGCCCCGCTTTCTGGTGTTTCGCTTTACGGCGTTCTGCTAATACGGTCATATAAAATTATGGCCAAAACTCGCTATACGGCTCCCCCACCTGACTTTCTAATACGGTCACCGTGCCCAACCTGGTTTGCTTACATTCTCCGTTAGATCTGTAGGCACTAAGTCTCTCCATTTTGTTTGGAAACTCCAAAATTTCAAGTGTTTTTAAAAGTTATTTCATATTTTATATATACTCTGATAATTATACTTATGTATACCTGTACCTAAATAAACTTACATACTGTGTCTAATGTCTCGAGTCGTCATATTAGTAATGATAATAATAATCACCGAGTCTCATTTAAATGTCGTATATTACGTTAATATACACATTTTCATTAACCCATCTATAATATTTTTTCAAAATTATATAATAAACACGATGCATAACATATAAATATGAGAAATACACCCCACAGTAGAATAAATAAACATAAATATGAGATGTGGTAGCAGATGACTTGCACAAGTGTCGCCATATTAGAAATAATAATAATAATAATAATAATAATAATAATAATAATCACCGAGTCTCATATTACATTAATATACACATTTTCATTAATCCATCCATGATATTTTTTTCAAAATTATATAATAAACACCATACATAACATATAAAGATGATAAATACACCCCACAATAGAATAAATAAATATAAATATGAGATGTCATAGCCAGATAGCTTGTACAAGTGACAGCAAGAATATCATTTTCTCTAATCTAACATAAGAGAAAATGTGTTACTGGGGGTAACTGTAGAAAATTATTCCTTTCATATGTAAGTAAGTTTATTCAGGTATACACAAATATAGTTACATAGATTATCATACATAATAGCATATGCAGAGAACCTAGGATAACCCAAAAAAGTTAGAGTGACTTACTGTATTTCCATTGCCTTCATTCAGAGCGTCATTTCTTCTAAAAATGGTGTTACATGAGAATGGGAGTGTTCTTCTTTATTTATTCTACTGTATCAATGTAGAGACAACTTGTACACAAACCAGACATGTACACTTTGCTTACAAAACTTACGTTCGCGTGGTTTGTTTACATAACTCTGCGCCTGTCCTTCCTCATGTACTCATTCTCTCTCATTTATTCGTTTTATCTCGTTTACTTACTCCTGACCCTACATTAAGACTACAAATATTTTAAGGTAAGTAATGAGTGAACTATACATATATGCATTTTATCGCTCTGGGATGCTTAAATATCACAGAATAATGTGTAGGTGGGGTGGCCTGGTATGGTAGCCCGGCTGACTACCATACATACCACACTTGATTTCTTACAATAAATACTACTTGTCTCACCCTAGATTAAGACTATCAATATTTTAAGGTAAGTAATGAGTGCACTATGTGTGTATTGCACTTTTTTATTGTTTTTTGATGCCTAGTTCTATTGCTAACTTAATATATGTTAGTGTAAACTTGCTATCTAGTATTTGTATGCATTTATAAGGAAAAAAAAGGGTGTTCCACTTTACGGCGATTTCCACTTTACGGCGGTAGCCTGGAACCTAACCTGCCGTATAAGTGGGGCCCTACTGTACGTATAAAATTACACAATACATCCCTCCAAACTGCCAATATCAAATAATTGAACTAAATGGGGGTATGAATGTCATTTCAAAATTTGTGTTCCATGCAATCAAATCAAAGAACTGGTGAGGCTTGAACCCATGGCAAGCAAGTCCAGGCCTGCGAGTTTTAATACTCCCTTGCCATAGGTTCAAGCCCCAGCCATTCTGTGATTTGTGTTCCATACAATGATTTTAAGAAGCAACTACTTAGATTCTTATCTTTCCTTCATCTCACCTCAAGAGGAACCACAGGCTTGGCAGGACGAGGTGGTCTATCATCCCACATTAGATCAATGAGGTTATCTGGAACAGGAATAATGGTGTGTCCACCACCTTGCAGCTCTCTGGCAAAGTCTCGCCAGCATTCTGACTCCAGCAAATACGGATCTACACCAACGACAGACCCAACATCTAGTGTTTTATTTAACCACTTTGCTTCACTTGGAGTTTTTGGTAATCCTGAAAATAAGTTTTTAAGTTAATATTCTTATGGAAAATTACTAAAGATTACAAAATACACAAGCAAAGAATCAACAATAAAAAAATAACCAAGACAAGTTTGAGAGAAGAATACATACATGTTTATAAATTTACACTGCAGATGATGAAATATCTGCAACTACACAGCAGTGAATTTAAGTGTGCTCTATATTCACAAATTAATCAGACCATAAATGATAACAGTAAATAAAAAGCTAGTTAAATGTAACTGATTTATATACTAATGACATTCGTGAAGCCCCTTTTACATGCAATTATTTTGGGAAAAACCTGAGAGTGGGTCACGTAGTGGGACTAAGAACTTAAAATTTGCAAATCTAAAAAATATTTAAAAACAGTGCACCCTAAACAAGATATGTCAAATGAGATATACATAGCACTATAATTTATTACTTTTTAACACATTGGCCAAAATCAGGACAAGACATGTACTGCCATTTCTTCCCTAGTTATCTTTAAATAAGAGCATATTTATAGTCTTAATGTAGGGTGCAACTAGCACAATAAGAGACAACACAATAAGTGTTGAGGGCCCAAGACTGTTCAACTGCCTCCTAGCTTACATAAGGGGGATTACCAATAGACGCCTGGCTGTCTTCAAACAGGCACTGGACATGCACCTAAAGTCAGTACCTAACCAGCCGGGCTGTGGTTCATACGTCAGGTTGTGTGCGGCCAACAGTAACAGCCTGGATGATCAGACCCTGATCCACCGTGAGGCCTGGTCACAGACCGGGCCACGGGGGCACTAACCAGTGGAACGCTCTCCAGGTATACATTACAATTCAAATTATCTCCACACGTTTTTCAAATTATGGACACTGCACTTCCCAATTCCAGAACTCAGAGGTTAACTTGCCAACAATGCAACAGAACATCAAGTTCCAAAAATCACTTCTGTCTCTCCTCACTCTGATCTAAGACTCTCCTGAATGACTGCTGGATATTAAGGCTCCTACCACTCACAACCTCCTTCAATCCCTCCCTCTAACCCTTCCTGGGACATTCCTTAACCCTTTCAGGGTTTCGGCCGTACTAATACGGCTTATGCCCCAGGGTTTTTGATGTATTAGTACGCCTAAATTCTAGCACCCTCATATCTAGTGAGAGAAAGCTGGTAGGCCTACATATGAAAGAATGGGTCTATGTGGTCAGTGTGCACAGTATAAAAAAATTCTGCAGCACACAGTGCGTAATGAGAAAAAAAAAACTTTGACCGTGTTTTTGGATTAAACCAGCGACTTTGCACTGTATTTTCGTATGGTATTTATTGTTGTATTCTATTTTTCCTGGTCTCATTTTATAGAATGGAAGACATGTTACAGAAATTGAGATGATTTTGACTGGTTTTCCAATGAAAAGTACCTTGAAATTGAGCTCAAAGTAGCAGAAATGTTCAATTTTTACCAAAGTTCAAAAGTAAACAAATCATGCCAAGCGTCCAATACATGTCAACTGGTGAGTCTAATATTCTTTCACAAGTGCACTGATATTATTTATACCATTTCTACACTAATGCAGTAGTCTGCATAACAGTAAATCTTCTATTTTTTGTAAGAATAAAAATTCAAAGTGGAAAGCCAAAGAAATATAAGAGGGGCCTGGGGATGTGACTAACGAACAGAGAACTTGTTATTTTAGTGCCAGGAAATGTCTTTCTTGTCTATTCTGGACCCTATTCAGAAATTGGCATCTTTTGAAATTTGTGTGAGATTGGCAAAATTGCTAAATTCTGACCACTGTACTGGATAGTTGAAATCAGTAAATGGGTGGTTTCTTGTACTCATTCGATAGTGAAATAGTTGTGATTTTTGTTGACTAGTACAATGGAATTGGCCGAAAATAGGGCACAAAGTTTGCAAAATCGCCAATGCGTAAACATAAAATTTCATACTTTTGGTGTCATTATGATTGGGAAAAGATTCTCTATCTTTTCATAAGAAAAAATAATTTTTTTTTTTTTAAATTTAGGGACCCTGAGAACAAGTCTCGGAGAGGGCCTGGGGACCCTGAAAGGGTTAAACCTTTCTCCAAATGCTTTCCCCAGATTTATATGCCTTCTTGGTCAACCTTTCTCAATTATTTTTAAATATTGTGTGTCTCATAAACATGCTGGATAACAGGTATATCTTGCTACTTCTACTTACACTTAGGTCACACTATACAGGCATGCACATACATATAGTATATACATACACACATCTAGGGTTTTTCTTGTTTTTCTTAATAGCTCTTGTTCTTGTTCTTTTTTTTCTCTACCATCCATGGGGAAGTGGAAAAGAATCTTTCCTCCATAAGCCATGTGTGTCGTGTGAGGCGACTAAAATGCCGGGAGCAATGAGTTAGTTACCCTTTCTCCTGTACATATTTACTAAAAATGAGAAGAAGAAAAACTTTATAAAACTGGGATGCTTGAATGTGCGTGGATGTAGTGTAGATGATAAGAAAGAGATGATTGCTGATGTTATGAATAAAAAGAGGCTGGATGTCCTGGCCCTAAGCGAAACAAAGCTGAAGGGGGTAGGCGAGTTTCAGTGGGGAGAAATAAATGGGATTAAGTTAGGAGCATCTGAGAGAGTTAGAGCTAAGGAAGGGGGTAGCAATAATGTTGAAGGACCAGTTATGGAAGGAGAAGAGGGAATATAAATGTGTAAATTCAAGGATTGTGTGGATTAAAATAAGGGTCGGATGTGAAAAGTGGGTCATAATAAGCGTGTATGCACCTGGAGAAGAGAGAAGTGTAGAGGAGAGAGAGAGATTTTGGGAGATGTTAAGCGAATGTATAGGAACCTTTGAACCATGTGAGAGAGTAATTATGGTAGGGGACCTAAATGCTAAAGTAGGAGAAACATTTAAAGAGGGTGTGGTAGGTAAGTTTGGGGTTCTAGGTGTAAATGATAATGGGAGCCCTCTGATTGAACTTTGTATAGAAAGGGGTTTAGTTATAGATATGTATTTTAAAAAAAAAGAGGATAAATAAGTATACAAGATATGATGTAGGGCATAATGACAGTAGTTTGTTGGACTATGTATTGGTAGATAAAAGAGTGCTGAGTAGACTTCATGATGTACATGAACATCAAAATGGTATACAATACCGACAGGTTGTTAGGTAAGACACATATGCAACAGTTAGACAACTTTATTCCGAAACGTTTCGCCTACACAGTAGGCTTCTTCAGTCGAATACAGAAAGTAGGCAGGAACGGTAGAGATGTGAAGACGATGTAATCAGTCCATCACCCTTGAAGTCGTAGAATTTGAGGTTGTCAGTCCCTCAGCCTGGAGCAGTCCAGTTCCATAGTCAGGAACTATCTGAAGATCAAGCGACAGTGCAGGCGAAACGTTTCGGAATAAAGTTGTCTAACTGTTGCATATGTGTCTTACCTAACAACCTGTCGGTATTGTATACCATTTTGATGTTCATCCTGTCAGACACGGCAACACATGGCATCTTGGTACAGAAAACACCTTGGACAAGCTTTTCAAGTGAAAAAAGGGTTGGATCTGAGAGGGACATGACCTCTCACTGGCCACATTTTCACTACTACTACTACTCTGCACCTCTCCTTCCGACAGTATTTAAGTCTCTGCACTGTCGCTTGATCTTCAGATAGTTCCTGACTATGGAACTGGACTGCTCCAGGCTGAGGGACTGACAACCTCAAATTCTACGACTTCAAGGGTGATGGACTGATTACATCGTCTTCACATCTCTACCGTTCCTGCCTACTTTCTGTATTCGACTGAAGAAGCCTACTGTGTAGGCGAAACGTTTCGGAATAAAGTTGTCTAACTGTTGCATATGTGTCTTACCTAACATGATGTACATGTTTATAGAGGGGCCACAGATATATCAGATCACTTTCTAGTGTAGCTACAGTGAGAGTAAAAGGTAGATGGGATACAAGGAAAATAGAAGCAGCAAGTAAGAGAGAGGTGAAGGTGTATAAACTAAAAGAGCAGGCAGTTAGGGTAAGATATAAACAACTATTGGAGGATAGATGGGCTAGTGAGAGTATAGGCAATGGGGTCGAAGATGTATGGGGTAGGTTTAAGAATGCAGTGTTAGAGTGTTCAGCAGAAGTTTGTGGTTACAAGAAAGTGGGTGCAGGAGGGAAGAAGAGTGACTGGTGGAATGATGATGTAAAGATAGTAGTAAGGGAGAAGAAGCTAGCATATATGAGGTTTTTACACAGTAGAAGTGATGCAAGGAGGGAAGAGTATATGGAGAGAAAAAGAGAGGTTAAGAGAGTGGTGAAGCAATGTCAAAAGAGAGCAAATGAGAGAGTGGGAGAGATGTTATCAACAAATTTTGTTGAAAGTAAGAAAAGGTTTTGGAGTGAGATTAATAAGTTGAGGAAGCCTAGGGAACAAATGCATTTGACAGTTAAAAATAGGAGAGGAGAGTTATTAAATGGAGAGTTAGAGGTATCGGAAAGATGGAGGGAATATTTTGAGGAATTGTTAAATGTTGATGAAGATAGGGAAGCTGTGATTTCATGTATAGGGCAAGGAGGAATGACATCCTGTAGGAATGAGGAAGAGCCAGCTTTGAGTGTGGGGGAAGTTCGTGAGGCAGTGGGTAGAATGAAAGGGGGTAAGGCAGCTGGGATTGATGGGATAAAGATAGAAATGTTAAAAGCAGGTGGGGATAAAGTTTTGGAGTGGTTGGTGCTATTATTTAATAAATGTATGGAAGAGGGTAAGGTACCTAGGGATTGGCAGAGAGCATGCATAGTTCCTTTGTATAAAGGCAAAGGGGATAAAGGAGAGTGCAAAAATTATAGGGGAATAAGTCTGTTGAGTTATAGGTAGTAGGTTGGTAAACAGCAACCACCCAGGGAGGCACTACCGTCCTGCCAAGTGAGTGTAAAACGGAAGCCTATAATTGTTTTACACAATGGTAGGATTGCTGGCATCTTTTTATTCTGTCTCATACACATGCAAGATTTCAGGTAC